AAGAGCAGGTGAGACACACATGTTAGTCAAATGATGATTTTTAGTGCTACTATCATCTAGTTCTGATTCTGGTTCTGTCTTGATTAAGTCCTCAGTAGTCCTGATTTTGAACTCTTGTAGTCCTGTTTTAATTCCGTATCAGTTCTGGGTCTGGTTGAATTGGGGTTTAGTTCTCGTGTCTTGATACCGCCCTGATTTTGTTCTGCCTTGCTGCTTAATTAAAAAACTATTTTAAGGTGTCCTGCATATGTGATTTTTTTTTCTGATATGAAGTCATTCTTTTTCCAACAAAACTCAAAACACCCCTCCCCCTCCAAATCCAACATGCATACTACCCTTATATCAACCAAAATTCCAGAAAAAACACAAATTGTGAATTTATTTGTGTGTAATGTAATGAGATTAGCATTTGATTCCCAGGTAAAACATAAATTAGAGGTGCTGCAGTCAGCTGGGTACAAGTCTGGCCTGTAGCCCTTTACTGCATGTCTTCCCCACTCTTTATCCCCAATTTCGTAGCACTTAGCACTTGATGAAGACATGCAGAGCTTTCTTGTAGCAGTTCTTCAGGTCTGCACACATCTCAAGAGTGATTTTGGGTCACTCATCTTTACAGAAAGTTTTGGCTCCCTTCATGGACTTTCTATAGCTTCAAGGTCTGGAAACTGCCCAGGCCACTCCATAATATTAATGTGCTTCTTTTTTAGTCGCTACTTTGTTACCTTCACTGTATATTTTAAGTCACTGGCATCCTGGAAGACCCACTCACAACCACCTGGCTTGGGTTGACATTCTTCGTTTTATTCCTTTAAATATCCACTTCATGACCCTGATCAGGAATGACTGCCATGTTGAAAGCCAGTAGTCATTCATTCTCAATGCTCCGAAAAACATACAACAAACTTTTAAACTGGGAGTGCTAGCTGTTACACACAAGCTGTGCTGGGGTGATAACTTAACAGAAAATGGTAGACAGCAAAATAACTGTAAAAAAAATAACAGCAGCAAGCTTGTTGGATTTAGCCAACAACTTTTATAACTTTGAATAATTTAATTCATTTATTATTATTATTATTAGTATCATTATTTATTATTTGATGTAGTAGTGTACTTTTTTTGTACTGTACTTGTATAAGGGCAATCAAAGAATTAAACCTTAAACACTAAACGCTTCCCAGCCAAGAAGTCTAATAACCTTCTGTGAGACTACAACACTTTATTTAAGACAAATAAACAAAACAAAAATGATGACCAATCACGTGGCAGCAACTCAATTCATTTATGCATATGGACTTGGTCAAGAAGACCTCCTGTGAACCAAACATCAAAATGGGGAACAAAGGGGATTTTAGCAACTTTGAACTTTGGCATGGTTGTTGGTTTAGCTTGTCTCAGTATTTGCAAAAAATCTGCTGGGCGTTTCCAACATAGCTATCTAAAGAGTTTACAGAAACTAGTAAGCAACACAGAAAATATCCAGCGAGTGGCAGTTCATTTAATAGTTGGTAATAAGAAGGCAATGGTAACTGAAATAACTGCTTGTTACAACCAAGGCATGCAGAGAACCTCATCTCTGAACTCACCACATGTTAAAGCAAATGTGCTATAGTAGCAAAAGACCAGATAAAGGGTAACTCCTTGGTGGTGGTAGTGGTGGTGGTACGGGGGTGGAGCAGTGGGGAGGGAGGTTCTTGTTAGACTTGTGCCACTCAGCTGAGCATCATTTAAATACCAAAGCCTACCTGAATATCATTGCTTACCACGTCCATCCCTTTATGACAACAGTGAGCATATAAACACCATGTCACTGCTTTTTTGAACATGAAAATGCACTTCGCTGTTTTCCAATGCCCTCCACAGTCACCAGATCTTGGTGTAATAAGATACCTTTGGGATGCAGCGTAACAGGTGATTTGAATCATCGATGTGCATCATACAAATCTGCATCTACTGCATAATTGTTAAATCTATGTATAACAGAATTAAGTCAGTTCTGAAGGCAAACGAGATTCCAACAGAGTATTAGCAAAGTGCACTGTACCTAATAAAGTGCCTGGAGCATGCATGTTTACAGGAAAGTACATTATTTATCACATTATTGTTGTTTTCCATAGTCCCTGCTTTTAGTTTGCCCTGCAATTTCCAGCAGAACAGACTCTGGAAACCTTTAAATGTTGTTCCCACAAAGGTTCTAGACTGTGTATACTCACTGTGTATATTTTTCAGCATCATTCAAACAGTCTGGATCTTACTATTCTCTATGCCTGTTTTCATTTCCTATTAAATCCAGACAGTCACCGCTGCTCATTCTCATTAAACGCTTTGTTACACTGTTAGTAGTTTATGACAAAGACACTCAATGAAGCTTCTACTAATTTCAAAATAGATGAACTAATTAATTATATGAGTTCCACAATCTTTAAACATAAAACAATAGCATTTATTTTGTCCAAAAAGGTAATAATCTCCACTGTAATCCATCTTAAACAAAACTCATATTTACATTCAACATACATGAGTATAATTTCAAGTTACTTCAAATGAAATATAGCTTTTATAATTGTAAATTCCTTTTCCAGTGGTTGTAGCACATAGCTCCCATAGCTCATCATAGTTCTTTTTTTTTTCATTACAGTTACATATTAAAACTAAACAAACATAAAGAGTCAGTTTTTTTTCATGAGATACAACATCACAGCAGACTGAAAGGTAAAAATAAAAAAACAATCCCACAAGTTGACCAGTTCGGTTAGTGACAATCCATGATGGGAAACCATTACATAAATTGTCTCTATGATGGGAATCTTTAGCCAACAATTTTAAGATCTACAACCATCAATGCATGAAACAAAGAAAGTCTTTTTGATTTGATGGTTTTGATCAGGCCTTGAACCCATGAAGATCTTTAATATAAACAGTTGTTGGTACCTTATTATTCTGTGGTGTTTTATTTATAGAGCAGCTGTTCAATGACTTTGTTCTAGTTTTATCATATTGTTGTTACAATATGATATTCAGTCCTGCCAGTGTTGTCACACAATTGTACTGATCTACAGGTGGTGCTTGAAGAATCAGCTATCTGCATCTTGAGAAGGATGGAAACATATGAAAAGCTTAAATGTAAAAACACAAATCAAATAAAAAATAATAATTAAACGAATTTGTTTATAAGAAAATGCCACAGAGAAAATTGAATATTTCAGACATTAGTGTCTGTATTTTGAATATATTATTGGAGACGGTCGCACTTTCCCACTTTAATAACAACAAGATCAGTAATGTCATTTACACTTGATAATAATTATCAACAACATGATTTCACTGGCAGAAATGTTGAATGTGGAGAAATGTAATCTTGTTGTGTCTCTCTGTGTTACTCTGGATAAATTTGACCCTTTCTTCTCCAACTAACCCCAACCGCCCAGTTATCTTTGTTTTCATTTCTCTCATGGCACATAAACAAATTACAATAACTACTTTTCATTTTGAGAAATGCAGATTAGTTGGCTGTAATGGTTACAGCCTAACAACTTTATTAGGTAGGTAGCATCAACTAATGTTTACCGTAAAACATGCTGGTTGAAAACCTTTGAAATCCAGTATTTAGCATTACCAACTTTCTGTATTTAAGGTATTTTGTAAAATGATTTGCAAAAAGGTCAAAGCTAATACTGTGTTTAAATAAAATTGGAGTTGCAATAACTGCCATCGTCTGAAAATAAATGTCAAATGTGATAATTATAGCTGGGAAACTTGTCTTTTTCTAATATATCTGACCTGGCAAAAAAGGGAATGACAGGAAATGTAACGACAGTTAAATATAATTATGCCATAAAATGTGACAGATTTTTTTCATGGATTGAAAAAAAAAATACTGTATATTTAAGAAAAAATTATCATCACTCACTCAGTACTCTTCAGACTGGTTCTGTACAGTATCATTCATGTTTTTAGTTAAGATTTTGATAAAGACTGCGGGAAATCTTAAGTGAAATGGCACCAGAATACTGACAGTTGCCACATTGAGTCGTTTAATGATGTGAATGTGGGACTTTTTAACTTAAATATCAAAATCCCCACATACTGTTAAAGTGATACAATGCTTACAAATTCAAGTCAAATAGTCACTATCCTGATTATTGGTGAAGAAAATAAGGAAATAGCATTTTTTGTACTGTTACAGCAGCATTAGTAAGCTAGGTACTTGAATAACAAGAATGAACCTTTGGTGTCACGGTTAACGCCGACTATCAGCTTTGTCCCGTGTTCAAGACTAATATATTTTTTGACCCATTCATCTCTTCTCAGTGTTTTTACTACACTGATTTAGTGTTTTTCCATCATCATCACGCTGTTCTTTGTTCTCCTTTTAGCTGCTCCCTTTAGGAGTCATCACAGCAGATCATCTCCCTCCGTCGCACTCTATCTCTAGCATCCTCTTCTGTCACACCATCTGTGTGCATGTCCTCGTTTACTATATCCATGAATCAACTCTGTGGTCTCCCTCTATCCCTCCTGCCTGGAATCTCCATATTCAACATCTGTTGTGCAATATACCCACCGTCCCTCCTCTGCACATGTCCAAACCTCTCAGCCTTGTCTCTTTAATTTTGTTTCCAAACAACTCAACCTGAGCTTTCCCTTTGATGTCCTCATTTCTAATCCTGTTTATTCTTCTCACTCGAAATGAAAACCTTAACATCTTCAGCAATACCACCTCCAGCTCGGCCTCCTGTCTTTTAGCTAGTGCGACTGTCTCCTAACCATACATCATAGCACATCTCACTAGCATCATGTAAGCCATCCCTGCTCATAAATCACCCAACACGCTCGTTTCCATCTACTCTTCTTCACCTCTCTTGTGTACTGCTCATTGCTTTAGATGGCTGAGCCCGGGTATTTAAGCACATCTAACCTCCTTGTCTCTGCTTCTTGGCTGTTTACCTTTCCATCTGTCTCCCTCTCCTTCACACACATATTCCATCTTACTTCTCTTCTCCTCACCAAAGCATACCTCCACCTGTCCAGACTCCCTTCCACCTGCTCCTTACTCTCACTATAGATCAGGTAGTCTGAAAGTGTCACAGTTCATGGACACTTGACTGGCCTTACCTCATCTGTCAACCTGTCTGTCTATCTCCACTGTGAAATGGAAGAGACTCAGAGCTGATTCCTAATGTAATTCCAGCCACACCAATCTGTGACTCCTACCCCACACACAGTACCAGACTTACATACTTCTTTGCCACTCCTGACTCCATAATGCAGTGACAGAGTTCCTCTCTTGGTACCCTTCCAAATGTTTTCTTTAGATCCACAACTGCATACTTCTCGAATCACTTTGTTCTTTCCCCAAATCCTAATTACAATGACTGCAAAGTGGTGCTTTTACTTCAGTTACAACTGTACAAGAAAAACCTTTTGTTGTTTTGTTTTGTTTTCTCCCCCACACTCCTTGTACATCATTTTGGGTGGGGGACAAATCCAAAGCCAGACAGGCTTGACATATCTCATTACAGTTGCTAGGCTGATTGAAGAGCTTCTATTTAATGCAGGGATTACTAAATGGTTAATTTGCAGAGGGTACTCTTTGCAGAATAAACTTTGGTGAAAACAGTCTGTTTGCTCTTGGAGTAATGGAAGGAAGGTCAGCTCTTAATACATCGCTGTGAAAAGCAGGGACTTGATGTGAGATGAACTCTGACTCCGCTTTTTAATTAAATACCATGAAGACGAGTGAACATTTTCAAAATCATGCAAATTGAGTGACCTATCTCTTTCCAATCTCCAGTGGCTCCATCTGTTCAGGTCTGTAAACTGTCAGAGATCCAGCTTCTACCTCCCTTTAGCTATGTAACCTCATTTCACAAGTTCTGAATTCTCTTTTCAAAATGATCATCTTTAATCGTTATTTGATATCAGGATAGGCATGTTATCGTGTCTCATCATAACAAAGCTGAGGGTTTCTTTAATGGCAGGGGTATCGATCATCATTGGGAATGTAAAATGAACTGAAGAAGCTTGTCGGATGAGAGGTGACATGTCTTCAAGACCAAGCTCCTTAGACTACCATGACCTGGATGACTGAAAACTTACACAGACATGTTAGAAATGCAACAGTTCCTCTGGTGAATCAATGAGGTTTTTTTTATAATTGCTTTCTGTACCAGATTTGATAAGTGATTATCACAGCCAAACCCCAGGAACTGGCATTTTTAGCTGCATCCACACATCTATAAATTAGCCATAAAATGTTTGGATCATTGCAACTTCAATCGCCGTGATGTCACAAAACAAATAAACAGACAGTACACAGTAGACATCAGAGTCCTTATGGTCTATTTCACACTTTGTATTGATTTGTACCATCGTTGCAGGCCCCTGATGAGTATTGTTAGACAGTGGATGAGTAGGAGGCCAGCGTAGCAGTTAGAGTTTTGTCATTTGAGCTGAGCTAATATCAGTTTGCTTAAGCTGTCTTTAGTGATGTGCAGCTTTTGTGCTTTTTATAGAGTGCATGTCCCATTTGTTCTTCTCAGTTTGGTTCGGCAGTGGGAAAAGGGCGCCAGTGATTCCTGCCTCTCCAGCTGTGGTACTGCAGCTTCACCTCTATTTCAGGAGCCACTGGTTCACTGGAGAAGAGGAGAGAAGGAAAACCGGAATTTATTATTTTTGCATATTTCTCATTTATGTGTTTCGGATCATCAAACAAAAGATAGTCTGAGTAAATACAAAAGGGAGTTTTTAAATGATGATATCAAACCTTCTTGGGCCTATGTGAAAGCGTAACAGTTCTAAACTGGTTCCACAACCTGTTGCAGAGTTACTGCTTCTGCAACAGTAACTCAAAAAACCCTCATTACAATCAAGTATGCAATAGAGCATCTCTGAACTCACATTCACCACACGTTGAACCTTGGAGCAAATGGATTACAGTAGCAAAAGACCAGGCCAGGAGTCACTCCTGCCAGCTTAGAAAAGGAAAACAAGACCTTAATTTGCACAGCCTCACTAGAATTACAATACAGAATATTTCAAAAACAAAGAGTCCAGATTTCTGCAGTAACATTTAATAGGTAGTGTCAGAATTTGGTGACGTTTGGAAACATTTTGGCATGAAAGCACAGATCCATGCTGCTAGGCACATTATTTCAGTTCAATTCAATTCAGTTTTATTTATATAGCACCAAATCAATACAGCTGCCCTATTTTATAAGGTAATGATTCGACAGTTTACAGTGTTATTTATACATTACTGTATAAACATCACAGCTTACCTATTGTTGTTGACCAACCCAGTCTCACACCCGTCCATGATGCAGTCATGACCTTTAACCTATTAATTCATGTTGCTGAATCAATACATCGATCTATGACCTTTAATCTATTGATTCATGTTGTCGGACACAAATTTCTTTAAATTCTCTTCAACACAAATTTGCATTTTGTATCCCTGAACACAAACTTTTATCAGCCCGCTATGTCCAAGTCCACAGCTAGAAGTTATCTGGACTTTCAGTGACCCAAGTCTGACTCATGCACATCACAGTTTTTTTCTACACATATTTAGCATGACTTTTAAATAAATGATTACAAATGTCTTGTTGCATCAAATTTAAACATTAAAAATGACTGAGTTGGGCTTAGAACAGTATGATGATTTGGGTTAAAATGCACTGCTTGCCATATCTTTTCAAATACTGTTGTCCTGGTTGCCATGGTGACACCTCCCTGCTTTTTCTGCAAGTGTAGTTCCTCAAACAAAATATATTTCCTAATGAAAAGCATTACTCACAAATTCATCTTCACTGACACAAACAAAAAACACTTAACAATTCGTGTCCATGAACACGAGAAGATTCATTTATCGTGACTATTTCACAAACTGCCTGAAGACCAGGCTGTACCATCCCTCTCCCATCGGCCGCAGTGTACCGATCCTCTGATAGCTGCTTTTAGCAAGATAACAATAAAGTCAAAAACATGACTTTTGCCTTTCTTCAGAATAATAATGAACTGGCTGTACTCAAATAGGCTCCACATTTACTAAGTTCTCAGTTCCATAGAGTACAATTTAAAATGTGATTTTTGCAACTACATCCCAACAGCCAACAAATCTGCAACAAGGGTGTTGCTGTCATGTTAACATGGACCAAAATGTCTGAGGAATGTTTGCGGCACCTTGTTGTGTCAGGAAGAGGACTATAACAGTATATGCTTATTGATTGTTGAGGAAAGAAATCTCATGCACAAAACTATCTCCCCACCTTTGTAATACATCTGACATGACAACCCCCTATCCTCCTACAAATCACCCGGTTACAATTCAGCTCAATTTTATTTGTAGAGTGTACAGAGTTCCACTAACAGTCTTCCCAAGGTGGTATATAGTCTTAGGTAAAAACCAGACAATATAGGAGAAAAACAACCATCAACAATCAGTCTTCTGCGAGCAGCCACTTGGAGACAGTGGAAAGGAAGAATCCCCTGTTATCGGAAACAAGAGAACCAGGTTCAAGTGGGCACATCCATCAGTCCAACCCAAGTGAGTTGTGTGGCGATAAAAAGGAGAAAAAGCCTATTAATCTGCTAAATTACATTTAGGAGATAAACTGTTTAATAATCCAATTAATGTCACGCAAACTGCTTTCTTTTAAAAGTTGCACCTCTCACCGATGCTTTAAAACATCCGTCATTTTTCTATAATTCCAATTTACAAAACTGACCAATCAAATTCAAAGGTTACTTGAACTGCACAGTTGAATTTCTCACTTATTTGCAGTTGCAGTTGATCAAAGGTATTTAGCATTTGTGTTAGTTTGCGTTACTATGTTGCAGTTTCAAGCAATGTTTTGGTTCGCCCTGATTAGCATGAAAACCACTAAAGCCAAATGAATACTGTATATATTCTATACTTGTGCTGAGCTATGCATAGTCAAATTAACTTTGTAACAAGGACAGTAAACAGACTCAACTAAACAAAAGTCCCCTGGAGTGCTGAATATACTCCTCACAGGTTTCCAGTGGATTGCCAGCTACATTTTCTATCACCTCAAAAATCCTGCTAAAGCTGTCTCAATGCATCTTGTCTCTTCTCTTTTCTGTTATCTTAGACTGACTCCATGATGTTAAGATCAGGGCTCTGTTAGAGCCATATGATGTAGAATTTCAGAATTGCTTGCTCTTCTTGGCTGGAGTGCATTTTGTCATGTTACAGAATAAATATGGATGACATAAGACACTTTTCTGATTTTACTGCATGATAGATTTAAAAAAAAAATCTATAATAATATAATTGTAGTCTGAGCACATGAAAAATCAAGCGAAATGTAAAACTGGTATAAGTGGGGTATGAGTGGGGAAAGGTATTTTTATTTTCACTTTGGGATAGATGTACATGCTGGTTGGCAAAAGGCCATAGATTCTAATCAAATGTAACTTTTTTAATGCGAGTTGCAAAACAACATAAAGCTTTTCATCAGCAAAAGGCAATCGCTGACATCTGCTTGGTGCGTATAGCAGATGTCAGCCTAAAAACCTAACTGCTATCAATGAAAAAAGGGGGGAACAAGATAGTACTAAAAAGATATAAAGTGAAGGGAGGAAATCAGTGGGTATGAGTAAGTGCAGTTAACTGAAAGAGGGAATTTCAAAGTGAATTTGTCTGTGGAGGAGAAAAAGAGATAACTCCTGCCAAAAGCAAAATCCATGCGTTTATTTCCCACCAGGATCCTCTCATTGGCAGAGTGCACTGTGTTTCTATACTTTCACTGGATGTTGGGGAAAGTACAGAAGCTTTTTTTTTTGCAATGTTATCTCAGCCTTCTTGCCTGTTACTGGATCACCTGACTTTATATTTTCTAAAGAGAAAGAGAT